AAACTAAACACAACATCTAAGCTAAAGTTGAAAAACTGACTGAACCTGTATCAGCTCCACAGAGACTGGCCACCATCTCTGGTGAGCCTTTGACAAAAGCCAGAGCAGAGCGCCCCCCGTGGGCCACCGTCACCACGCTCATCCTCTGCAGGGCCGAGGAGAATGGAAACCTCTTAACGATGGCCACTGCTTCGCTGGACGACTGAGAGCAGAAGAAGAATAAACACAGATATAAGACTTCCAGTCCTCAACAGGAAGTATTTATCATCCTGTGAGATAAACTCAGTTGTGAAAATAAAGTTTTTTCAAACAAAGACTTATTGCTAAGGTGAAGTCATATCTCCCAAACAAAGACCTTGAATAAGTGACTCATGCTCTTATAACACCTCGTTTGGATTATTGTAATGTTTTGTATGTCGGTTAAGATAAATCTTCTCTGCATTGGTTACAAGTTATCAGAATGCAGCAGCTCGTCTTTTAACAGGTACTAAAAACACAAACACATATCACCGGTTCTGGCTTCTCTCCATTGGCTTCCTGTTCACTTTAACATAGATAAGATTTTTTTTGCTTACTTTTAAACAGAGGTCTATAAAGTAAAAATTAACTAAGTAAAAGTAAAATTACATCAAAAGAAAATGACTTTGGCAAAAATAAATTTCACTGATGAGAAAATTATTCAAAAGTCATAAAACTGTTCACAAAAATTGGGACAGTAAAAGTAAAAGTACATTTACACACTCTAAGAAATAAACTGTTGAATTTGCTGAACCAAACTGGTTCCACTGAGCCAGGTTGAGTAAATTGAGCGATATATGTATATTCTTCGCTCAATTTACTCTACCAGGCCCAGCAGATCCAGTTGACATGACTTTGTTGAGTAAATTCAACGCTTCAGTTTGTAGAGTACAGAAACATCTTTCATGAGTTCAAACGTATTTAATTTTGTAACAAGTAGGTGTTACATTTTAAAAGAAGTAAAAGTAATATTTTTAGCTTTAAAATATAACAAAATAAAGGTAGCTATTTAAAAAAATAATTGGTAAAATTACAAATCCTCAAAAAACTACTTAAGTATTGTAATGAAGTAAATGTACTTATTTACTATAAACCTCTGCTTTTAAAGCTTTAAAAGGTCCGGCCCCATCTTACCTGTGTGATCTCGTTAACATCCATACTTCAGTTGGAGCACTTCAATCATCCAACCAGCTTCTCTTAGATGTTCAGATCGAGGCTAAAATTTAGAGGTGATTGGGTTTTTGCAGTTTTTGCCRCAGACCTTTGGAGTGGCTTAGCTTTTAGCATTTGTTCTGCTGAGACTTTTAAATCTATGCATAAAACCCATCTTCACTCCATGGCTTTTCATTCTGGTAGAGTTTGAGATGCTTTTAAAGCCAATGTTTGAATGTTGTAATTTGTGTTTTCTAAATTGAGCTTACTTATTTTTTTTAACAGTTTTGTGTTGCTTTGTTGTTTTATTAACTTATTTAAATGAATTGTGAAGCACTTTGGTCAACTCATGTTGTTTTTATGTGCTATATAAGTTAGTTGACATTGTGGGATTCACTGAGTTGGGTTTGAGTTTATGTTCGGTACAAACACGTTACACAGTTTACTCCCTTAGTGAGAAATAAAATATGAAAGCAAACCTGATTAGATCATTTTAGGACTGATAAATTAATTAAACATCACTTTTGTACCATTTGATGACGTGTTGCTTTGTTATTTATAAAAAAAAAAACAGTGGTGTTTTCATCAGTAAGTCCTTTTTACATCAATAAAAAGACACAGAAGTGTGAAAATGTTCAACTTTGAACTCACATTTCCATAAACGTAAAGATGTTGAGTCGGAGGTCTCATAACGGCCAAAACTTTATGACCTCCATATTCTGCGTGCACAGCGTCTCCATCTCCCTCTGGCTCCTGGAGAGTCTGAGGAGTCAGAAACAAAGTAGAAACAATGATTTTTATTATTTTGATTTTTGCTGCTGTATCATAGGTTTGAAATTAATTTACTAATTCTTATTTTAGGGCTAAACTGACTACAAAATGTTGGGATGAGTTATAAATGTTAAGGTCTTTAGGTTAAAAAAATATATATATATATTGAAAGAAATGCATAACATTAACTGTATTATGTATCATACCCAGCCTGTAGACTCCACCATCTTGAGCTCAAGAGGGTCTCCAAGGGGCTGACCTTTGAGCAGTGTAACAGTGTGACAGCAGGCCAGGGCAGACCGCATGTGACCCYGAGGCAGGAGTTTAGGATCTGGGACCATTTCTGAGAAACCAGCAGGTCCTCCCTCCATCACTCCCCACACATCCAGACCCTCTTCTGTCAGAGTTCCAGTCTGGGGAAACAAATCCGACTCAGTTCTGCAGCATCAACACATGGAAARGAACCAGAGAAACGAAAATAATCCCAGCCTCACCTTATCAAAACAAAACACRGAGACCTTGCCACAAACGTTGATGCGTGGAGGACTGATGCAGAAAATATTGGCCTTCTTCAGCCTGCTTTGGGCATAAATAGTTCCTGTGGTGATGGCAGCAGGCAGGGCAGGAGGCACTGCAATGGTCACAATATCCAGGCTTCGAACGATTAACTGCACCCAGGTCACCTGGAGACACGTGGAGCCACAGGTTGACTCTCAGTGAACTACAGGCCAGGACAGATTTTACACTTTGACTGGAGGACTTACATTGGCTTTGAAGAGGATCACAAAGATATAAATGGTGCCAGTTAGAGCTACAACAGAAAAAGAGCATAATCTTAGTAATTCACCTGCAAATGAACTTTAAAAACATTTTTTACAGAGTTTATTTTTAAAAAACCTATGAGTTAGTTATTAATGAAGCTTACCAATGAAGCCAAGAATGAGAAGGAACTTCATAGCATCTTTGTAAAAACGAAAGTTGATTGGCTGAGGATACAAAATGGAGCTGACCAGGTCACCTTTGGCCGTGAAGAACCCTGCAGTTCAAACAGAAACAACAAAGCTTGTTGTTGGTTTTCTTTCGGCTGCTCCTTCCTGCAGAGGCCACAGACCGCAGCCCTCTGAAGACAACAAATATTTTTTTGTATTATCATGTTGTACGTTTAAGGCCTAAAATGTTCCGTGTATTTTCCACATATTTACAACCAATGCARGCCATCGTGTGCATCCTCTAAGGATTTATTCATAAACATCATAAGAGCTTCAGTAGTCAAACACTCCTAAGGAATATAAAATTTAAAACAATACACTAAAACATTTTCATATATGGATTATTTGTTGGCATCCGTGGTTAAAAGAGAGATACCGTAGATCCTATGTTCTCTACTAACCAGTGGTGGACAAAGTACTCAAAGTAAAAGTATTGATACTCATGGTCAAATCTAAACTACAGGTAAAAGTTACTCGGTCAAAAATCTACTCAAGTTAAAGTACTGAAGTACTTACTTTTGAAAATACTTAAGTATGCATTTAAAAACACTCAAGTATTCAAAAGTACAAATTAAAACATATAATATCAGTATATTGCTGTATTGTTTTCTGAGTGATTTTACAGAACCTTGTGACTCTCAGAAACCACCTGATGTATCGACACATAGAACCGCTCTGCTACCAATTCTTCACCTGTAACGACTTTAACATAAAAATGTAAAGAAGTGTGTGAAGGAAAATGAAATCGTCACCCATGTATTTAAGTTTTGAATGTATTTTACTTATGTTTCTTTCTTGTTTTATACTTATAAAACGTATTGTATGCTTACTGTCATGATATATTCTGATTCATTTCAACTGATGTTGTACGCTTCCAGTAGAGCACCTTAAAAGTGTCATTTCTTGTTCCAGCTTAAAACACACACACACACACACACACACACACACACACACACACACACACA